TGAAAAATTCGAGCACACACCCCACCCACAACCACAAGTACCTAGATGTAACTCTGCGCTGAAATTATTTTGTAATTGCGAGGCAGCGAGCGTAACCGCAACATACACCCAACGTAACACAACTGGGCGTATACGTAATGCGTCGCATAGCAGCCGCCATTGCGAACTAGTCCACGATGTACGTCATCATTAACGCATTTGCAGCTAGAAATCAACGTACGATAGCCATTTGTCCCTTCTGGACAATGTCATTTCAGTTACCAATGACGACGTCATTTGTTACATTGCGCCTTTCTGCTTAAAAGCCACACTCAGCGGTAATTAAAGGCGCAACCGTTGAGGTGGGCTGTGGCCGTGAGGCAGTTACATGCATCAGTAACTCTAACCCGTTCGCACAAGTGCGGGGCCAGAGATAGAGACCCATACATAAGTGCACTCCTAATGCGCGCTGACGAAACAACGTTGACGTTCAATGCGCCGCTGACGATGGATGCTGCGGTCCTCAATCGATACACTTTGCACACATATTGGCTGACCCTGCTCCCACGACGACTGACCTTTCACATTTTACCGACGCAGTTAGGTGTGGGTCCTCTATTTTTTGCTTCAAATTGTGGGATACAATTACCAAATGAAATTACCGCGACTTGAAAGCAAACAATGACGCAGCATTGCTGGGTTGTCGACATAAGCGACACTGTGGTGGGGGCATGGTGCAACGGCTCCATTTGGATATAGTTTGAGGGGCGCGACATTTTCTTTGTGCGCCCGCTAAATTGGTTTATTGCGTGCGCTGCCATTCGCTGTTACTGTGTATCAATAATGAATGCTTTTAAAATACAAAATAATCGAATCAAAATGTTGGTAAATTTTCCTCTGCCATTTGGGAACGCTAAAAGGGGGCACAGTTGCTACTGCCACAATCAATTTGTATGGTAGTGAGAGGTATCTAGAGATGGATTTGTGACAAATTTCATTATAAAAACAGTAAGGACAAAGTGAAGTGAAATTAGATAATAAAGCGCTTAGAAGCTTAGAGTCTAAGAAGTAGATATAAGTTTATAGTTTAGGAGTCAAGTCATATTTACATTTAAAAGTGAAGTAGAAGATATAACAACTTAGGGGCTATAAAAACTATGCAGTTCAAATGAAAGGGCTTAAAAAAGGCACTGAACCGATTACATACAACTACATTAAGAAGCGAAAATAAAATAAAATTAGAAGAGTTAATTAGAGTATGAAATAAGAGAAACAAGAATTAACTATAAAGAGACGATTGAGGAGAATATAATATCAAGAAAGTATGCAACCAAGAATTGAAAATTAAGATAATAGGGTAGCGAAACAATTATGTTAATAGATAGCTGAGAACAAAGTTTTTTTTTTTAGAACAAAGGTTTAATTTTTTTAGATTTTTATGACATTTGAATTCAAGAAAGCCTGAAAATCCAGATATCAGATAATGGTGTATTTTTTGTGATTCACATCGACCCATTTCATCGTGTTAAACTCACGCACCCATCTCCACGTGAAACAGGTACAGGGACAAATTACTTGATTGCGTTGAAAGTATATTAAGTTACATGTTACCAATAAACTGCACTCAATGCTGAACATGATAAAGTGCTTCAGCATTAAATATACACGCATTCGCCATTGGAAGAAAAGGCCACACCTATTACAGTTTATGTCCACAAATGACGTCTAATTGGTAAATTGTGTGCTTTCGGCATTAATTACCATAACGAAGCTAATTAGCAGAAAAGGCGTCGGGTGGCCCATCAGCAACAGTTCAAGCAAAAGCAGCCACAAGGGTCAAGGCCAACACAACTCGATGCTAAAGTTTCGCACGCTTTTTGCTGAAAGTCTGCTTTATTCGAAGCATTGTTAGTAAGACTGCAGAACATTTTGGCAAGGCTCTTAAATTGAAATTCCAGCAATGAATTCTATATAACAACCACTTTCTGTATAAAAAGGATCCACTTATATATTTCATCTGTTAATCTGAATGTCAGTGAGACCACAAACAGAGCATTGAGTTATGTGCTGACGTCAATGAATAATCAAAAGACACTTCAAATGGCAGGCAGCCACAGCAATTGCAAACACTTCATGTGTTGAGCGTATGAAATGCAAATGAAATATTACGCATACGCCATGTGTGGCACAAACAATGCAGCGGCCTTGATGCAACTCCTTTGACGGATGTTCAATATATTGCTATATTATATTCGTATGCTAGGGAATGTATACTGCAGTTTTCGTAAATTAAATAAATAAACAACCAAATGGAAAAATGACAGAAGTGAAATATTTGCTTTGTGTTGTAAAAACAAGCTCATCATAAAACGATGATAAAGATGAATATTTCATTGGCGATCACGTTTATTTACTCATTTATAATTCAAGGCTGATAGCAGTGCCAGTAAATTATTCTGTCCGCTGGCAATTTGAACGAATGTGTTAAATTCATAAAGAAAGAGCTTTATTAATAGGAAAATTATTAATCATGAAGTTGGCAATAAATAATTTATCCATTATTAATGGATGCCAAATAGAAAAGTTAATGACGAAAATCAAAATCAAAGGACAACCAAAAAAAAATTAAGTGACATGTTAAAAATGTACATAAACATTCTTAAAATATTCCTGAAGCCTTTAAGCTTGTTTTCAGTGAGTGAAGCTTAATTTGACTCGATGCAGAGCCAAACAAACAAATCGGAAACGTTGTTAGCCCAAACAGATGCTACTTTATAAATGACATTAATTTTTTTTAAATAAATGTAGGTAAAACTTTAAAAGGAAAGCAATAGCAAGTAAAAATTGTCAAAAAGCTTATCTTACTTATTTGGAGTTTTCGGTTTAATACGTAGAAAAAAAAAAAATCAAAAATTGCAATACCTTTCTTTTAATTTTATTCCAATGCGCTTATTTGCATCTTTGAATATTCAAGCTATACATTTGCGTTTGATATTTTTTAAGCAAGTTCAATCTCACACAACTATATGATTCATTATTATTAGCCCCATTAATTTTGCTTAGAGACTTAACCATTTGCCCTTCCAATTTTCTCTTGGTAAGTCATGCAGCAGAAGCCTCTTTTTTTCTACAAACACCCCTTGCGTATTCTTGGTAAATACTTAGAAGCTAACGCGCGCTTTATTAAAAGGTAAATATCGTTTAACCTACACAATTTTTCTTAAGCAACTCGCTTAGAAACTCATTAAACGTAGACACGAAATTTCAATTATAATCACGCATACGCCATGTTGTGCGCGCAAAACGGCAGCACATCCAGCAATAGCCAGCAGCAGCACCTTCTAAGTGGCTTAAATTGTAATTTGTTTGGTTGCCTGAAATTTTTGGGCGGCAGGCCTTTGCTGCTTGGACCTCTAAACTATGCGGATTCGGCAAAAACTGGCCAACACTTGGCTAGGTCTTAGCCCAAAAGGCTAAAACGGCCAGAACAGACGCAGATAATGACAATGATGCCCGAATAGCCTAGCTAAGATGTTGATGTCGATGTCGATGGCTGCTCGTAAAGCGTAAATTTTTGTTTGCATTGTTTTCTGCTGCCTTCTTCGCATTACTGTTATTTTTGCTGTTGCCGCTGCTACTGCTGTTGTTATTGTTGTTGCTGGAGGGGTTGTTTAGGTTGTTGCTGTCTCCACTTTTTTCTCAGCTGCGTTCGCTTTTACGCTAGTCTTTTTACGATGCCACGCGGCTCGCGGCAAACGCAGCAGCAACAACAACGCTGGCTTGCCATATTCACCACAGTTGTAAAATTTGTTGTCGTATGTAGGTCAGAACAGGCGCTGCGGAGGGCAGGACTACGGTGGCGGTAACATGTGCGCGCACCCACCGGATACGATTCGTGTGTGCGTTTTGTTTTGAAACAGCAAAGCCTTCCGAAGGCAATGCGAGAGCGAGAAAAAGCTTTTGGGCAGAGTTGTCAGCTAAACTGAAAGGAATTATCATTATCATCATTTTAAAAGCATAGAACAAATATCCATCTCATTAATTGATACTAAACTAATACGCACAATAAAAATGCAATAAATATAAATTGGTTGTTTAAATGTATCCATTTGCGTTCAAAACAATATTGCTCTAAAATAATTTTAGTTTACAACAATTATTTTTATTTGGAAAAATCTTTTCTCATATTCGATAAATCTTTCAAAATTTGTTAAGCTTATTATAAAGTTCGAGTGGCTTTAAAGATATTCACACCACATTTACAGTATAAGTCTAATTCATCTCAAAACAAGCTTAATTTAACTATAATTTTTTCAAATTGAAAATTTCTATACTTAAATATTTTTGTAATTTTCACTTCTTAAAATTCACCACCTGGAAAAATACTTGTATCTACTACATACAGCTATAGAACTACAATTCTGCTTTCCAATGCAATACCTTTAATCATTTTCTTCGGGAATGGTTCATTTTTAATAAAATAAAAAAAGTTATTAGTTTCTCTCAGTGCATCGCACATAGCTGAGAAAGCTTTCGGCATTCTCTGCCAGCCAACCAACCAACCCCCGGCACAACATACACCTGTAAATATTTGTATCCTTTTGTGGACCGAAGCGTCCTGGGGTGGCAGGGGGCGGTACAAGCCTGCCAGCCTGCCAGCCAGCATGTCTGTGGTGAATTCACGAGTGCGGCCTATAAAAGCAAAGAACAAATGGGCGCACAGCTCAGTGCAGACTCAACGAAGCAACGTGCAACAGCAAAAATCAAAGCAAAAAACAAACTGTCGAAACATATAGAAAAAACCATTAATATTTATAATCAAATAAGTGAAAAAAATGAACAAAACAAAAAGCAAAAAATTTTTCAAAATAAATTAAATTTAATTTACATTTAAAATTGAGAACTCGAGAAGAAAAATTATTACACAAGCAAACTTTTTATGTGAAGTAGAAGAGGCAAAGGAACCCAAGAGTGAGAAAAAGTAAACATTTGGAGCATGTGAGTCGAAGGAAGTCTTGTGGCGACTCTGCCGCCTGATCTGTGTGTGCAAAAGTGTGTGTATTTGAAGTGTAAAATGTAACTGTTAGCTGACATACCGCACACACACACACAAACAAACTATAGCAAACATAAATAAAAGAACATATAGTATAAGGCACGTCTCCAGCAAACTGAAGCAACAGTCCAAGCAACGGATCGAGTCTCAGACCAAGCCATAACCCACAGCCCGCATCTTGTTGTTGTCGGGTAAGTTTCCAAATCCAAATATGCACCCCATAAGTAGGAAGTCAAGCGGAGTTAAAAGGATTTCATCTGGCGCTTTATGCAAAATTTGCGTACGGCCGCTATGTTTTGAAACACGGCGAAAAGTTTAGCGACGGCTTTTCCCGATGTGCCGCGGAAAAGTATGTGTGCTCTTGTGTGTGGCTTTTGAAATACATTAGAGAAGTTTTAATTGCTTTATTTAATTAATTTCTGTTATTTGTGAGACTGACAATGAATAAATGGCCACTTGATGAGTGTCTGATTAAAGCCAAAACCATTTATTTATCTGCTTTCGGCCCAAGAACCCAGTTTGTGATTGAGTTGAAAAAGCTGAGGATGGGAAAGGTAGAGTAGAAGTTGAGTTCCAGGACCTTAATGAGTTAAGTAAAAAAGGTTTGACAAAAATTGAATTAAGCAACAAATAGCAAGAGACTTAAGTGTTCTGTATTGTTGTGCCATTAACAATGGAAATCAATCCAGACATGGATGTAATTGAAATGACAGCGTTGGCAGAAGATAAATAAAATTATTTGGTAGAGAGTTAAATAGATCTGGCAATTGGAAGAATTTTATTTAAAGCTGGATATCATGAAATTAGCTAATAAAAAATTTCACTTTTAATTAAAATAAAAAAAATGTTTTCATTCAGAAAAAAATACCCGTATTCGGAAAATCATCTTTAAAACACAAGTTAACTAAATCACACTTTTATGAAAACAAGTGTTCCCTTAATTAATCATATATTTCTAAATATCGGAAATGATTTGTTTTTCCGCTTTTCCAAATTTAAGAAAAGAAAACTTTGAAAATTTGCAAATGGGGTTGCAATTTTTAATTATATCTGAAAAGTACAATTTTTTTCTAAGTATTAGTGCTAAAAATTTAACAAATTATAGATCGCTACAAAAAGTAAATTTTTCAGAATTTTTACTAAACCATATATTTTTTTATTTTAATTATTCTCAATTAATGAACACCGTTTTTACTAAATATCAGTAACAAACAATAGCTACAGACTAAAATCATTTTCTAGTGAGGGACTTAAATTTTGTATAATATCTGTAATAAATACCTATTATAAAGAATACATAACATAGTTTAAATGTAATTAAAACCATTTATTTGAGTTCAAAATAATGGTAATAATAAACGCATTATTTCATAATACTTACTTTCATTTTTTAATAGCTTTTTGCTAAATTTGCCAAGATATTACTTACTAATAGGCTTAAGTACAAAACATTTTTTTACAAATTAAAATTAAAGGTCCTTTATGATTTTGTGCTCTCCTTAATAACTTCATTTTGAATTTGAATATAATAACTAATTATAATAACTAACTATAATAATTATTGTTTTGAAATTCTTCTTCCAAGCTGGACAATGTACATTTTATTTACACTTAAAGCATAATTTATTGATTCACACAACTCATGAATCAATCGTTGAAGCAAACAAGGGCAACAACATTTCACTTAATTGAATAATAAAGTGTGCGATATCGAATGTATTTCTAAGGAAGAGAGAATTTCAAATTTGTTATAACAACGCAACTTTATGTGAAAAATATCCAAAAGCAGGGAAACTTTTGCAATTACAACACACGCACACACACATTGCAATATCTGCTCCACAATTTTGTGAGGGCTTCCTCGGAACAAAATTGAAGCACACTGACCTTTTTTTGTATTGTCTGGTTGCTTGTCCTTGCCCTTAATGGGGAAAGTAGTACTTTGTGGCTAATTACCGAGGCACACACACACACTAATACTCGTGTGCACAACAACATATGTGGCGTCGATTTAATGGCGAACAATGGTGCAGGAAGGCGTGTTGTCGACGGGCGGCAAACAATCAGCTAAAGTGACATTTATACCAAGATAATTACACGAAATTGTATGCACACACACAAAGACTCACACCCGCACAAAAGGCACAAAGAGGCAAGTGCAAAAAGAAAGAAACAAGTCCATATGTGTATACTATAGATGGGTATAGTCAACAATAGCACACCGACAAAACATGGCCAAAACATAGGAAAAATGATACAGCTACTCTCGTAGTCTAGCAAATGCGACAATAAGCTCTGCTCGCATGCTCAGTATTTGTTGTTCCCCTGATAATAGACTGGGTCTGAATACAGCCAGCATAATGGCATGTTCTTTTTTTCTATGAGTCGCTCTAAGCACAATTGGCATTGCCTAAGAAAAACAGTGGTGTCGGAAAGACACTATATTTAATATTGTTTACTTGACTTCCGTTTTGTATAATTTTAGAAAGTTCTGCATTCAAAAGAGTTCTTAAAAGATGTTGCTTATTATGTAAAATCTACACAAGTCTAATATTAAAATGCTAAAAATCGTGAGATCAGTTCAAAGAAATTGTAAACAAGAAATTTGATATTCTAGATTTCTGTTTTGTAAGTGGATACTTTCAGATTATATATTGTATTGAAATGATGAAATAAATGTTTCTCGAGCTACATATTTATCTGAAAATTGAAAATGTGACAACTGACTTAAAACCATTTTTGTATTGATATTCTCCTAATAATCATTTTTTAAGAATTTAACATTCAGTATTTCGGTATCTTGTTCCTTATTAACAATACAATTTTTTAAAATTGCTCAAAACAAAGTTAAATAACATTGTCGATTCAACAAAAATTTAAATCAAATGAAAATTTATCTTTTGCAATTCTAAACGTTTGCTGCGAAATTGTTAATGTGAAACAACAAACCAATGTATCAACAGCTTCGTTGCATTTCTCTTTTTTGCATTTTAAAGGCAAAATACGTTGTTTGAATCAATTATTACTTAATTTCATAAAAAAATTATAATAATAAAGTAGAATCGAAGAAATGAGACATTTCTTTAATCTTCAGCTCTCACCTTTTCTTGAAATGTCTGGAAATTAAAAATTATAATAATACATATATCTATCCAAATATCTCGCTTATTTCTACAAATTCGGTTTTCTTTCACTTTTTTTTTAAAACATGATGTTAGGACATCTTAATATTTAGAGTAAAGAATTAAACTACAAGGGACAGTTTAAAGCGGAAAAAATTATGCAGAAGAGGCCATAAAGCTTAATTACTTATACTTATTTTAATACTGTTCAAACTTATACAAGTTTTTTTACTATTTATAAATTATATATTATTTATATGCAAATATGTAGAGTATATACGTGTATATCTATTATTGAATCTAATGATTAGGCGAGCAATTCTTTCTGCAACCAATTCAATTTTTTCTATTTGGTGTCCTTGTAAAACTGTAGTTGAGAAGTGCCAGGGAACTAAATCGATTTTAAATTATCTCAAAACATAAATACTTAAAGGTATCCCTTTTCCTTTGCGCCATATAAATAGTTTTTAGCTAATTATTCAAGAAAATAATTAAGCCTCATTAGCATAACATTTTTATCTAAAACAAGTAACTCCTAAACAGTTCTAACCGTATATGAGTGACTCGGGCTGTCCAGTTTTTACGTGTCCGGAATTTTACGGACAAGGCTTATGCGCGTGTATGTCCAGTTACCATATTCGAGAATGGCCCATGCCCCACATTTTGCCTGTTTGGCACACGTGTGTGTCCATCTCAACTCATTTCATCTCGAACTGGGCACGGCATGTGCGTGTGCTCATGCTGTTATCCTGCGGTTCAGATACGTGCAAATGTTCACTGTACATAGTCTGTGCCAAAAAAAATGTACATGTCACCATACGCGCTATATTTTATCCAGGTGTTTCTCTTTGCCAGGGCGATTAAGTCCTCACATGGCCGTCGGCCTGTGGTTGTCGATGTCTACTTGATAATCCTTTTATGTATATATAAACACGTATGTGTGTGCGTGTGTCTGTTGTGCGTTGAAAAACAAATGTACACAAGTTTCAAATTCCTAAACATATTTTTGCAAATAAGAGACATATTCGTTCGACAAATGAAAATTGAAAAAAGCTTGTTTTTAATCTGCTGTCCGGAAAAATGTAATTTACGTCGCATGCTGACCATCGAAAAATGGTTATGCACTGAACCACTAACCATACAACATATAGATGCGTCATTTCATACAACGAAAACGTCCCATCAAAATTGTTAGCGACAGCTCCCATAGCTGTTCGGGTATTTGCCGAATGGGAGCTGTCGCACTTCGGCTAACCCGACTGGGAGCTGTCGCATTCGTGCTCTCTGTGAGCGAATTTCATTTCATTCGCAGAGAGGCAGTCAACAGAGACGGTCGGTTCACGCCGCTTATGCTCTTTGTATGTGTGCGTGCACATATATACATGTATATGTTTATATGTATTTGTGCATTTGGTCTTTTGCTGTTTGCGAGCAGCAGCTTCAATTTCGTTTTCAGATTTTACCTGCTACATGGGCATGAGAATTTCATACACTATTGCCATATTTCTGTCGCAATGTATTTTGGGATGCGTATGCAAGTGAAGTTTGTCAATGGTGTATGGGTTTCTCATAATGCCGATAAAAGCACACATACATACAATTACATACATATGTATGTATGTGTGCAAATGTTGTGTTCATATGCAGACACTTCATATATGAACGCGTGGCAGTAGCCTTGACATTGTCATGACCTGCCTCAACTTATATTTATGCACAAGCAATTTTGTTGATAGACTTTCTTATTTTTGTTTGACTTGCATATTAATTATAAAATATTTGGTAAAAATGTCAGTTGGCATTTAAATCAAATTAATTCAAAAATATTAGTTTAAAAATATTTTATTTTATTTATGTTCTTGGTAAAAATGTCGGTTGGCAAATTAGCCGATATTTAATATGGAAATAAGTACATTTAAGGGTCGCAAAATGTGGTAAAATTTGTAAAACAAGTGTAATTAAATAAATAAAAATACATATATGTTTATATGTATGTAGGTACATCTTTTGATAATTTAATATATATTGTTTTTTTTTTTAATTCGCCGCTCAAATTTGTTACCGATCTA